CAGTGGTTTTCAGTGTTTTGGACAGTCAAGGACTCTTCTAAGAATCTGATGAAAAATATATACCCTTCTCCTAAAAACAGGTACATGCTCCTATACAACATTTTGCATCCAGTTGTAAGTTTCTTAGAACCCCTGGACCACAGGCTAAGAATCTCTGTTCTAGATGGTTTTCCTTCACTATTTTTACAAGCTTAGGCTTTCAAAAGTAAAGGATTTAATTTGCTTTTGAAATTTTCCTTTCACTTACAGTTTTTGTATTTTTCCCCCTAATATTTGGTTATTTTGCCTTTTTTTTTTTTTTTTTTTTTTTTTTTTTTTTTTTTTTTTTTTTTTTTTTTTTTTTTTTTTTTTTTTTTTTTTTTTTTTTTTTTTTTTTTTTGAGACAGAGTCTTACTCTGTAGTCTAGGCTGGAGTGCAGCAGCATAATTTCGGCTCACTGCAACCTCCGCCTCCCGGGTCCCGGTTCAAGCAGTTCTCCTGCCTCAGCTTCCCGAGTAGCTGGGATTACAGGAACATGCCACTATACCCAGCTAATTTTTGTATTTTTAGTAGAGACAGGGTTTCATCATGTTGGCCAGGCTGGCCTTGAACTCCTGACCTCATGATCCGCCAGCCTCGCCTCCCAAAGTTCTGGGATTACGGGCGTGAGCCACTGCACCCAGCCCCCGCCTTCATTTTTATATAGTTTTGCTGGCTACACAATTCTATATTGACATTTTCTCTCAGCCCTCTGAAGATATTCTTATTCTCAGGTTTCTTCTCTAACAGCTGTTAGAATTTTCTAAACTGTGTAGACTGCTTCCTGGCCTTCACATGGGCCACTGCAGTAAAGCCCTATTTCTTCCTTCCTTCAAAGGGCTGGGAGAAAATGTCAATGTAGAATTGTATACCCAGCAAAACTTTTAACAACAAAGGCAAAATAATTTTGGAAAAAAAGCCAAAAAAGAAACCTAAAGAAAAAACCAAAATATAGTTTACTAACAATAAGGGAAATGGATTCACAGTGAGAGAATACATGTTTTCTAGCATATATAAAATATTTATCAAAGTTGATCAGATACTCAAAGGAACCTCCAAAAAAAAAAATACTTTCGGATAGACAAATCTCAGAAAGAATAAAGCTGCAAGAAGGAACAGTGAGCAAAGAAATTGATAACATGAATAAATTTAAACAAACGTTGATTTTTACAAATAATAATGTCTAATTTATGGCATTAAAAGATTAAGATGCTTGACAACATTAATAGTTAAAGCATACTGGATTCCTTCAAGAGGCAGGAAAAGATTCTGAACCATATTTGAATTTCTCTAAGCTATTTAAGCACTAAAAGAACAGAAACAGGGTATGTAATAGACCATATGTATTAGAGAGGCAGACTCCAGAGCCAAAATTGAAGGATTCAAATCTTAGCCCTTGCAAAACTACCTATTGGGTATTATGCTCACTACCTGGGTGACAGGGTCGATCATTCATACGCTGGGTCACTCAATATACCCATGTAACAAATGTGCACGTGCATCCCCTGAATCTACAATAAAAGTTAAAATTAGTTTTTTAAAAAGTTTCATCCCGGTCATTTACTAGCTGTCTGACCTTGGGCAAATTACCGTTCTGTGCCAAGGTTTTTAAAGTCAGGACAGTAGAAATGATACTAGTATCTAATTCACAGGGTTTTTGTATAACATTTATATAAAGTTTCGAACAGTGCTTAACCTAAAATATGTGCTAAGGAATTATCAGCCTCAGTGAAAACTTCCAAAACAGTACAGGAAAATTCTTAACCCAAAAGAGGTCAAGAAAGGGTAAAAAACATAGAAATATGGGTCAAAAAGCACAAAAGAGGGCAAAAATGCAAATGAGCTCTTTTTCAGCTAAAAGTCAAAGTCTGTCAGACTGGATTGATGGGGAAAAAAACCCGCCAAACATGATGTTGTTCCCGAGACATACTTAAAACATGAAGCAGGTAGAAAAAGATACACCAGTCAGAGTCAATGGCTGCGAAATCTTCGCCTACCTTACCTTATCCGTCTTCCTCCAGTTTTTCTCCTGCCTATTCCTGGGTTCCTATCCCACCACCCGCCTCGCTCCTCAGCCGCTCATACTCTCCAGCGGGAGGTGAATGCTCGCTCAGGCTTCATCCAGCGCTTCTTCACTTCAGCAACGTGCTCACGTCGGCGGCGGCCGTGGTGACGTCTGCGGGGGGCGGACCTCACGCCCTCGTTCCCTCCTTGGTCCGCCCAACCGCCATTGGTGAAAGGGTTCCAGCGTCCTGCGCCGTCAACAAAAGAGAGGGCTTGTGACGCAATGGCACCTCGACGTGCGCTTATTGGCTCCGTGGGGGCGCTCCGCTGGTCCTCGCTAGAACTTATTGCCTCTCCGCAGCAGCCCCGCGACGACTGCTGCTGCTGCTGGCCGTGCTGCAGCCCAGCTGTAAGGTTAGACCATCATCGTTTATGAGTAAACATGTTCCTTTCTATGATGTTCTTGGTCACGCATTTATGGAGTTTCTGAAGGGCCTGGAGATTACGCCAGGTACAGCACGATGTTTATGAGGACAAATGAATGGTGGAAAGTCATTACTGCTTCACCAAGAATCCCCTGCAGAGCGGGTCACCTGGACAAATAAGTGTAGAACTGAGATCATCAGAGCATTTTACAAGAGTTCAGAGCTAGGTGGGGTGACCCTTGGTGCAGTTCCTTTCCATTGGCTCAGAATTACTGAATTGAAGAACCGTGGGTTCTTGTTTGAAGGTTCATTTCCTGTCTCTACCAACTTCATATTCAAAGCTCTGTGAATTTCAGGTGGAGCTTATTAGCATAGACTTCAGTTTCTTGACATCATTTCTGTATTCAAAATTTTTTATTTTTTTGTAACCATATCAGTGTTTTTTTTTTTTTTTTGAGACGGAGTTTCGCTCTTGTTACCCAGGCTGGAGTGCAATGGCGCGATCTCGGCTCACCGCAACCTCCGCCTCCTGGGTTCAGGCAATTCTCCTGCCTCAGCCTCCTGAGTAGCTGGGACTACAGGCACGCGCCACCATGCCCAGCTAATTTTTTATAGTTTTAGTAGAGACGGGGTTTCACCATGTTGACCAGGATGGTCTTGATCTCTTGACCTTGTGATCCACCCGCCTCGGCCTCCCAAAGTGCTGGGATTACAGGCTTGAGCCACCGCGCCCGGCCCAGTGTTTTTCAAGTAAGTTAACATGACTCCAATGAGATTTCTTATTATACACAAACCAACCAATTAGACCTCAAACAGATTTATAGAAGAACTTAAGAAATACGGGGTTACCACAATAGTCAGAGTATGTGAAGCAACTTATGACCCTGCTCTTCTGCAGAAAGAAGGCATCCAGGTTCTGGACTGGCCTTTTGATGATGGTTAATCACCATCCAACCAGATTGTTGATGACTGGTTAAGTCTTGCAGACGTTAAGTTTCGTGAAGAACCTGGTTGTTGCATTACTGTTCACTGTGTTGCAGGTCTTGGGAGGACTCCAGTGCTTGTTGCCCTAACATTAATTGAAAGTGGAATGAAAAACGAAGATGCAGTACAGTTTATAAGACAAAAACGGCGCGGTGCTTTTAACAGCAAACAACGTTTGTGTTTTGAGAAATAACGTTCTCAAATGCGGCTTCCCTTCAAAGACTCTAGTGGTCACAACTAGAAACAACTGTTGTATTCAATAAACCTGGCTGCCTGATGCTATTTCCTTGGAAGTGGAACTTGAGACAAGACCTAATTTATTGTACATTTTAGCCAACATATGGGCTGAGTAAGTCTGATGAAGCTTCCATAGGAATATCAAAAAGCTATGAATTTAACAGAAATGCAGCTTCTATGTTTGGCTTACTGCTATTCCCATGCCAGAAAAAATACATAAGAAATCTAGAGATTAGACGCGAAGATCCCCAGCACAATAATTGTATATTTTTAGTATCATACAGAATTATTCATTCCTTAAGTCATTTCAAACACTGCAATTAGGGCCTATATGATTATTTGCCTGCTTCATGTTTACCATCCCACACGGGTCCCAGTATACATCAGGTTTGCCCTACAGGTAATTTTGTTGAATTCTTAACAAACACATCTTGTGATTATTTGATGTCTTTCCCTAATCTCATTTTGTTATGAAAACCTCCAGTTTGAAAAATTAACCTCTAGTTGAAAGTTCATGCAAAATACATTTGGTACAGAAGCACATGTGTTGAATGTCTTCAGATAAGAAGACCTTATCATTAATGTTTACAGTTGGGGTGCAACTTAATGGGGAGGGCTCTGAAGTCAGAATGAGAGGAGACTATGAAATATTTCTGGTAAAATGTTGTTTTGATCTTGTGCAGAACATATGGACTAGGACTTTTAATTTAGTAAATGTTTTTTAAAAAGTAAAGGTGCCTGGTCTTTGTAGCTAAAACAATTCTAAATTATAAAATTTCAGAAAATCTTGTACTTCTTCCCCATACCTATTAGAAGCTGCTTTTTAACTACTGTTTCTTTGAAGTATGATTTTTTTTTCTTGTTTTCTCAACCAAAGGAGTGAGTTTCTACTAATGAATTGATCATTTAATATTTTATCTGCTTTTTGAACTGTGTAACAATATTTGTATACTTCATAATTAGTTTTATTATGTAATTGATAAAATAGTGAAATGTATTAATGTTAGGACAACCATATACTCATATTGTCTGGGAACAATATATGTTTATAGTTCTGTGGGAGAAATACTTTGTGTTCATCATTCACCAGCTAGTACAAGAGCTTAATAATCTGAGTAAATAATGAATTGTGGGAGAGTTTCTAAGACAGTATAGCTATGTTAATATCAGTAGAAGTAGAAGTAAATGCATTGCTAGAGATAGAGCCACTACTTAAAGTTTCAAAAGTTCGAATTTATCAGGAAGTTGTAACAATCCTAAACTTTATGAATCTAATAACATTGATCTAAGATAAATAGAGCAAGTATGGACAGAATTACAAAGAAAATTGACAAGTTTACCAGAGCAGTGGGAAATTTTATTATCCCTCTTTCACAGGAAGATCAAGTAGACAAAAGTCAAGACTTTGGATATAGATTTACACAAAACAATCAACACACTTGATTCCATGAACATACAAAGGGCATTGCATCCAGCAGTGTAAGAATACATATTTTTAAGAGTATATGAACTGTTAAATTTGACCATATATTTGACTACAAAAAAATTTCAGCAAATTTTAAGCTATTTAAATAATACAGAACACATTCTCTCACCACAATTCAGTTGAGTTAGGAAAAAAGTTAATATCCATACAACTGTAATTTTGAAAATCTCTCTGGAGACTTCCACTTCTGGCTAGGATGTAGTAGGTCATGGCAGCCTAAAACTCTTCCTGCAACAACTAAAAAAAGATGGAAAAATTAAAAAGATCATGTTTAAAGATATGTGAGAGTTCTGAAAGCAGTAAGACTAGGTGAATGGGAATTCCAGAAAGGGAGGAGCCCTTATGAGGTAAGTGACCATTTTATTTTCTAGGGACATTTACTGATTCTGGACATGGACTAATAAGGGTCAAGCTTGGTCCATGAAGAGGGTCTGTCCTGAGGGAAAGAAAAACCCAGAAAAGCTTTTGGTGGTCACGTGGGACTGGTGCAACAAATTGGAAAATTAGGAACTTTGGCCAGTTTCCTCTAACTGTTAAAAGTTGGGTTCCCCAGGAAACAGACACTGAATCTGAGATTTGCCTCCAAAGGATTATTGGGGAGTCTTCTCAGGGAATAACACCTATGAGGGAGCAAGAGAAACAGGATAGGGCATAAGAAGTTGAATGTGATATACAGCAGTTGCAACAGCAGCCTCAGCCAGTCTCATAGGGAGCTCTGAGGATGGGGTGGCTATTAAGAGATGTTCTCAATTGACACTAGGAAGCTAGGCCTTTGGGCTCTTGAATATACCAGTCATTGCCTGTAGTATTCCCCTGGGGATGATGGCACAATCTTGGGTGAAGCATTAACCTTCAGTCAAGGGCAATTCCTAGAGAGGGATGCAGCTGTGGGCCCTGAGCTGATAATGGCATCTGGAGGAATGAGTGTTTCAGACCTAAGGCAGGACTAGGTGGTGCAACCACAACATCCGCTCTCTTAAATGACACTTGCTGAATACTGGGGCTGTGTATGGGAGCCTGGGGAGTTAGGGTGAAGACTTAAAAGGCAAAGGAACTCTCCCTTAATCTAACAGTCCTTAGGAGACAAAGTTCTCCACATTCTTACCAACACATCTTTTTTTATTATAGCCATTCTGGTGAGTATGAAGTGTAATCCCATTGTAGTTTTAATTTTCATATCACTAATAATGTTAAGCACTTTTTTCATGTGCTTGTTAGCCATTCACACATCTTTTTGGTAAAATGTTCATTTTTTTGCTCATTTTAAAATTTGAATTGTTATCTTAATAAGTTGAAGTAGTTCTTTATATATTCTGGATCCAATGTCTTTATCAGATATATGATTTATTTCCCCCCAGTCTGCTGCTTGTCTTTTTGTCCCCAATAGTGTGTTTCAAAGTGCAAAATGTTTCAATTTTGATGAAGTACGGTTTTTTCCTTTTATGAATCATGCTTTTAAAGTTATATCCCAGAACTCACCTCAACCTAAGTCACAAAGATTTTCTGCTATTTTTTGTCCTAGAAATTTTACAGTTTTAGCTCTTACATTTAGGTCTGTGATCCATTTCAGGTTAATTGTTGTTTGGTGTGAGATGTCTAAAGGTTAATTTTTGTGTTTAGTGTGAGGTGTGTAAGTTCATTTTTTTTTTTTGCATGTAGATATTCAGTTGTTTCAGCACCATTGTTCAAAAGACTTTCTTTCTCCCAATGAATTACCTTAGTAACTTTGACTAAAAGTCAGTTTACCATAAATGTAAAAACTTATTTATGAACTCTCAATTCTGCTTCATTTATTTATATGACCACACAGTCTTTTTTTTGGTATAAATTGAAGGTGTACAGGTGAAGTTTTGTCACATGGATATATTGTATAGTGGTGAAGTATGGGCTTTTAGTGTAATCGTTACCCAAATAGTGTACATTATACCCATTGAGTAAATTCTCATCCCTCACTCTCCTTCCACCCTCCCACACCCTTCCAGGTCTCCAGTGAGATTCCACATTCTTTGTTCATGTGTACACATTATTTAGCTCTACTTATAAGAACATATGGCATTTCACTTTCTGTTTCTGAGTTTTAAGTGCCTCCAGTTCCATTTATGTTGCTGTAAAACACATGATATTATTTCTTTTTCATGGCTGTATAGTATTCCATCACACATATGTATTCATTTTCACCTATTTGATAAATTCCAACCAATGAAGTCATCTGGACATGGCTTTTCTTGGGGGAAAGACTTTTTTAATTACTAATTTCCTTACTATAGGTATATTGATTTGTGCTCTAATATTTGCTTGCTTTGAATTTTGCTTGCTTCCCTCCACCCTGTTTCTTAAGGAGGAAGTTTAAATTATTGACTTGAGACTTTCCTTCCTTCCTTTCTCTCTGTCTTTCTCTTCTGATATAGGAATTTGCATTAGTCAGGGTACCCCAGAGAAACAGAACCAATAGGATCTTTCTCTCTTTCTGTTGATTTATTATAAGGACTTAGCTTGGTTCACATGATTATGGAAGCTGTCAGATTCTAAGATGTATATCTATAGGGTGAGTCAGCAAGCTGGAGACCTAAGAAAGATGATGATGTAGTTCCTGTCTGAAGGCAGGAAAAAGCCAATATCAGTTAGAAGGGCATCAGGTAGGAATAAGTCTCTCTTACTCAAGGGAGGGTCAGTCTGTTTTTTCTATTCAGACCTTCAACTAATTGGATGAGGGCAATTAGTGGAGGACAATCTACTCAGTTTAGTGATTTAAATATTCATTGTATCCAAAAATACCCTCCCAGAAACACCCAGAATAACATTTGATCAATATCTGGGCACTCTGTAGTGCCATAAGATTAACCATGACAGCATTTAAAGCTATGAAGTTTCTCTCTAAATACTGCTTTAGCTACATCTTAATTTTGATAAGCTTTTTAAAAATCATTTCAACATATATAATTTGACTTGTGATTTCTTCTTTGATCTATCGGTTATTTTGAAAGGTACTGTTTTCCAATATTTTGGAATTTCCCATACTTTTCTATTTATTGATTTCTAATTTAATTATTAATTTTGTTACTCTATGGAGCCAAATGCATTTGGAATACAAGGTTGAATGCTGTTTCCAGGCAGAAAGCTACAGTGAACTAAAATTTAATCAGTAAATAGAAAAAAAAAAAGGGAAGAGAAGGACTTCCCAGGAGGAGAGACCAAGCATGTATAATATCAGGGTAGGTTTGAAAGCACATGTGCTTAGTGCTGGCAAGATGTTCAGTGTGGCTGGAACAAAGGAAGTATAATTTGTATCTTCTTTCTTTTTGTCTTAATTAGTATAGCTAAAGCTTGTTAATTTATTTGATCTTTTCAAAGAACCTATTTTCCTTTCATTGATTTTCTCTACTATGATTTTTCTTTTCTAATATGTTGATTATGAAGGATATGTAGCAAGGGTACAGAGGAAGTTATGGGACATGATGTAAAAAGATAGTGCCAAAAGTTCCATGGTGCTCAGATTCCAGCTTCACTCTTCAAACTTTCTTCTGAATAGTTTTTCATTCTCTATGATCCCAAGAATCATACAGGAAAGATGTTTTCTCAGGATATTCTTGGCTGATCACCAGCACTGAGGAAGCAGTCCTTGGAAGAATAAGACGTGAGCAAGAGGTAAGTGGTGCCTCTGCTAATTACTCTTCTGCAAGTCTAGTAGTCCATCTAGTCTGTCCTTTAGAGTTGGCCGTATAGAGCCTAGTCGTTGTGGGCAGAGGAGATCCTGAGGCTGAGGTGGTAGCAGGAGTAGGGCCCTAAGCATGATTTATTGTTTCCTTTCTTACACAATGGAATTAGAGGCTGGAAGCTGTCATCTCACCTTGTCTTAACATCTTAGCAGTATCTAATTTCAGGGGGCTGCAAGCTCTCTCCCCACCGCCACTCCTGTGTATAGGCTGTGCTTTTCATGAGGGAGATGAAGGCTAGCACTGAACTTGGTCTAAGAAACACCCAGGATGGACTGATATTACTGTATAAAAAACAGCTTTGGGTTGCTCAACTACTTCAGAGAGTGAAGGATGGAAGCCAGAGTGTGTTTCAGAGCCAGGAAAATGAAATCAAGTCTTCCCTAGAACTCCCTGTGGTGCTCTTCCTGTCACCACCTCTCTTCTTCTTCACTCCTTGGCAGACTGACTCTCCCCACCCACATTTCTCTGGTTTTCCTTTTACAAAAAAGAATGTCTAAGACTCAACAACCCATAGGGCAGTGACCATTCCTGAATAGATAGTGAGCTGCCCCCAGCTACTCAGCCTTCACACACTGCTGAGTCTGGAAAGGTGTGTATTGCTGACATGGACTGAACTCCCTGATGGGTAAGCCATGTTTTCTGGCTAGTGGCTGTGCTTGCATTCCTCATCTCCCCATGACTCCTACCCATCTTTTCCTCTCAGGACTCAGTGCAAACATTGCTCTCCCTGAAGCCTTCTTTTATGTTCTCATAGGAAATATCCTCTCCCTTTTCTAACTACCCTCAGTTTTTATCTGCTCTTCTTTCATGAACTTACCACTTTCTCCCGTATGGCAAAATGAATTGTGTCCAGTTTCCTTTACTAGAGCCTGAGCTCTGTAAAGCAGGATTCTAGGCAAAATTCTGCATTTCCCACAAGGCCTGGCCAGTAGTTGGTAATTAATGGATGAAGAAATGCTTAGGAAGGAACTCAGAGGAGGGTTCAGAAAAATGAACTCCCAGGGCCTTCAGAGACAAGGCTTTTATTCATGTATGCCTTGGCATCTCCTCTCACACCAGAAAGTTTAAAAGAAAAAACACAGCAACAAGGATTCACTTGGGCCATTTTGGAACCCATTTATATTGTGGGCGTTATGCTGGGCTTCCTCCAGCCCCATACCAGCCCATGAGACTGCATCAGACCGTCTGAACATTCATGGCTTCCTTGGGCCAACTGTAACTGTCCAGTGTAAAGGAGTCATAGTCTGGAGTGTAGACCAGGGATCTTACAAAAGCCTCCTTGTCCTTAGGCTCTGGGTAGTAGGAGGCCAGGTTGTGTTTGTACGCGTAGTCAAGAACCTAGGGAAAAAGAGATTTGACTAAGGAACTGGATCTAAGGGGAAACCTGCTTAAGGATCCCTGTTTGGGAGTCCAGGGGAGGGGAATACACCTTAAGGAACCAGACACGTTTCTTTCAGGAGTATGGCTCATGAAACCACTGGATAGGAAGGATTTTAAGCTTTCTGCCTGGACAGGCAGCTTTGACATAGTGGAATAAATACTGAGCCAGGGTCAAGAGGCTTCAGCATAAATTCTGCCTGCTTCCAAAGGCCTGTGGGTCCTCAGAGGTGATATCCTTGTCGAGCCTCAGTTTCCTTGTCTGTAAAATGGGAGTAAGGAGACCTTTCTCTGGAGTGGTGTTAAGATAAAATTAGACAACAGGCAAAAGTGTCCAGAACCTGATTTTTTTTCTATATGAATATGGGTTAAATTGGATGAACAGGCTGTACACTGTTTTCTCTTGGGTTTGGCTTTAGGAGAATGTGAATCCAAATATCACCCAAAGGAAGAAACTGACAGAGTGAAGCTGGACCATGAGCTAGACTGTTAATCTTGAGGCTTGATTCTGGATTCTATACCAGACAACTCATGGGTAGTGTGTGCTGTTGTACATGCATTTTATGAAATTATTTGCACACTAATAGAAATAATAGTATGATAAACCTTCATGTACCTATTATCCAGTTTTAACAGCTATCAGTGTTGGGCCAGTCTTTATTGCCCCATGTTCTGATTCTTTGAAAACCCATTATCTCTGCACCGTCTTATAGTCTGAAATATTCCATGAAGCTGATCACCCCATAGCCAGCCATTCTGAGAAGAAGGGGTAGAAAGAGGTTTACTCTGGCAGGAGAGCACTGGGTGTAGAGCTTTTTCACTGTTCTCTGCTAATCTCCAGAACTCTGGGAGAGAGAAACTACTGGCCCTTTGAAGGAGAAAACTGAAGCTCAGGTAAGTGAAGTGATTGGGCCAATGTTACACCATTGCTCATTGGCAGAGCTGGGACCTCAATGCCTGAGCTTTTTCCATGATGCCATGCAAGCTGACCTTTCTTATAAATGTGTGCTTATGATTCATTTCTAAAAAATTCCCACATTCTGGTCCATGGACTTTGATGACCTTTCTGCTTGGTGTATGAGGGGAAATCCAGGAGCTTTCCCAGAACTGGCCTGGGTGGGTGTTTGGGGTGGCGCTCAAGCTGCAAGCAGGAGTTTGTCACCCAGCCTCTGAGTTGCATGTAGTGCAGCTCAAGAAGCTCAAATGTCTCCACAGTTCCCATCCCCTTGGCCCTCCTAAAGTCACAGACAGAGAAAGTGGTTGAGCCTCACTACCCATATTACAGGGGTAGGATGCCCCTTACTTTGATGGCAATTCTCAGAGACACGTCTCGGATGGTACTGAGTGGTGGGTACAGTCTCCCCTGGGACAGATGCTGCTCAGAGACTTCCTGGGCAATTTGCTGGGGAGAAGGAGAGAACCGAGAGGAATAAGCTGAGTCTCTACTTTCCCAAAACAAGTCCAACCCATTACCCCAGAGACTCACCCCACCCTGCATAGTTAGTCAAACATTGCAGTTTGACTGCAATGCTTGGGCTTAAGAAAAGACACATCCTTTCTGTACTCTAAAACTGACTGGGGCTTAAAACAACATAAGGATTTCTGAATTCCAAAGGAAAATGACTAAAGCCAAGATGAATAAATTTATGGCCTGCAAAGAAAAGGCTATGAGATCTCCTCTTGGCTGATCCAGCCTATTACACAGGGATTCCTGAGTCCCTCACTTCCTGGGTTTCAGCCTTCTTCCACATGCTTGGACTCATCTTGAGTGACCATCTAGGCTATGTTATGTCTTTGTGCTTAGGCTCCTAGAGCGCTTCCTTTCAGCCCTGGTCTCAGTCTGAGGAAGGCCTCTCCTCTGTGAGTGACTGAGTCTTATACCTTATTTGAATAAATGTCCTAAGCACATCATCCTGAGAACAGAGCCTCCCATCACTTCCCTTCCAGGTTCAGACCTTGCCTCTGAGGGTTAAGCCTCATCTGCCACAGGCCCTCATCCTCCAGGCTCAGACGCTGGAGCTTGGTCAGCCTTGCAAATCAGCCTCTTTAATGTGGTGGCTCTGAATCTACTCCCACCCAGTCTTCTGGTATTATATTTAAACTTGGGAAATGCCACTGGTGCTCTCTGAGAACTGTGTGTCTTAGAAGTGATGAGGCTAAGAAGTTTATCATGCCTCAGTGTTTTTAGATATAAGGGAAATGTGCTTCCCCCTCTACCTCCTTCTTACTTTCTTTTCCATTCATTCAGTCAAACATTAACTGAGCTGTACTATATCTTTCAAAATGTAGAGCAGGCCAAGGCTGTCTCTTTATTTCAGACCTTTGTATGGCTCCTTCAAACTCCTTTCCATACAAGGCACTTCATCACTGGGCCCTCCTTTCCTCTTTAGCCTCACTTTTAGTCTCTAGGCTCTGTGCTAGGTGCTGGGCTCTGTGCTAGGTGCTGGGGAGCCATATAAGGAAGGATTCTATGGTGAAGAAGCCATTGTCTTTTCCCTTATGGAGACTGGTGTGAGTGGACAAGTAACAAATGATTATAGCATTATAGTAGGTGAATGCAGTGATGGGGGCATAGAGGCATGGAGGATGACAGGATCCTGTCTACCATGTATAGGAAAGGCTTCCCAGAGTGTCACAGGATGATATCTGAAGGACAAAGCATGAATTAGGGGGGAGAGAATGGTATCTGTAAATGCTGGAAGGTGAGAGAGAACATGGGTACGAGACTGAAAACAGCACACTGGATAGATCGATGGTAGGGAGACATCAAAAGTGAGGTTGGAGAGGAAAGTAGGGCCTGGTGATGAAGTTCCTTGTATGGAAACCATGGGTAGGAGTTTGGACTTTATCCTGTATGCACTAAGGAGGCACACAAAAGTCTGAAATTAGGGGAGAGATTTGGCCTGATCTGTTTCAAAGGACTCTCTTTGTGAAGGTATAGAAGTTGGATTGAAATGAGAGCAGCAAGATTTCCATGGCTAGATCTGTGTCTAGAGAAGTTATCCTGGCTGGGCGCAGTGGCTCACGCCTGTAATCCCAGCACTTTGGGAGGCTGAGGTGGGTAGATCATGAGGTCAGGAGTTCAAGACCAGCCTGGCCAAGATGATGAAACCCTGTCTCTACTAAAAATACAAAAATTAGCCGGCATGGTGGTGTGCATCTGTAATCCCAGCTACTCAGGAGCCTGAGGCAGGAGAATCGCTTGAACCCAAGAGGCAAATGTTGCAGTGAGCCAAGATTGCACCACTACACTCCAGCTTGGGAGACAGAGCAAGACTACATCTCAAAAGAAAAAAGTTACCTTGAGAAGAGATATGTGTGTGATCACTTCTAAGATGGTGGGCACTGGCAATGCTCTTCAACAGGGAGTCAAGTTGTCCTGGGCCATCCTGGGCTCACAGGACCAGTGACCTTGGGCTAGTGACTGAAACTCATATATGAGTAAGAACTTTACCTGTTTTGCAGAGTTGTTAACAATGAAATGGGGTAGTACATGCACATCTCCTTAAAGCCTATTTTAATATTCCACAGGAAAATCAAATTCAACTTAAATTATCTTCACTAAAAGGACCCTTTTCAGAAATATAACCTGCCATGCCTTTGAAGACCATGATATGAGCTCCTATAGGGGAGGGGCCTTATCTTGCTCACAGCAGGTGCTTAATAAGTAGATCCAGGAGAGGTTCCTGTGTAAGTGATGGACACTGTTCATGAAATGATGGAGCTGAACTGCCTCACGGCACTGGAGGTGGTAGGGCAGATGTGTGGATGTCTCATGGGATTACATAGGAAGGACTCTAGCAGTTGTGTTTCTGCTCAACAGGGGATTTGGCTTTCAGGCTGATTTCAAGCAAAAAGTAACTCTTTCCATCCAATGGGAACTTCAGACAGCTCTGTCCATAGTTACAGGACAAGAACACCCACCATAGCAATAAGAAGAAAGACAAACAGAATACTCAAGACAAGAGGAACAGAGAACTGTGACACAAAATCATAAGTAGTGTGCACAGGGCTGGGGGCAGCTGAAAAGCCTTTGGGAGACATTATTTGCACAGTCTTGGAGAGTCAGGGCTCAAAGACTAGACATAATAAGAAGAGACCTGGTGCATGAGGTTGTCCCCTGTGAGACTCACAGAAGTGGATCCAGACAGGGCTGTGTGGAAGCCATACCCATGTCTCATTGATTTCAGGCTCTCACTAGTGCCTCAGTGAGAAGGAAATGCAGGAAGATGTTAGAAGTCACAGGAGAGCCTTTGGAGCTTGTTGGGTATAAGTATGTTTCATATTTTTATATGTCTTTGATTAGCTTAACCTCCCAACACAGACATTTCTGTGCCTTGGTTTTGTCAGAGTGAGAATAAATGTTAGGTGCAAGGCACTTGGTAACCATCTGGTAATTTCAGCCACTGTAACTGTTATCAATAACCATTAGTGTGAACAGGCTGTCATTCTTAATGAACTGATTCATGATTTTCATCATGTCTCTAGTAAAGAACTCTTGTGTGCTTTTCTAGTAAGATACCTGGAATAGGTACATTTCCAACACCTCTTATCAGTGCTGAAGATCCGGGTCCTCCAAGGAGACAAAACCAGGTATGACACCCTCCTCCCTTACAGAAAGCTGTCCTAGTGGGGCTTACTACCACCAGTTACCGCAGTGATTTGGCCAAGGCCTGTGGCTGGAAGAATCCATCATCTATCATCATCCACAAGCCCTCAGTTTCAGGTGACTTTGATGGCATGTCACCTGTTAGGCATCTAGATGGCATTGCTAGAAGGCAGGAGGCAGTATGAGGCATGTCTCCTCCCTGTCAGTGCCTGTTGCTAATACCCTCTGCCACTATTCCCCATTCCCCCTCAAAAGTCCCATGTGTGATTGAAGAGATCAGGCCTCAAGGTGGCCATGAGAGATGCTTGAGGTTTAAGCACTTTGGGAATCCACTGGCAACGTTGGGGTAGATGGGCAGAAATGATGAGAGAGATCAGGCATAGGACCCGGTGTCAACCCACAGACCCTACTGTAAGCATTTGAGGGATCAGGTACAGTGATACCTCTGCTGTCAGGAGGAAGATCTCATCTGGGATGTGCCGGATCCCGCCAGCGATGACTCCCAGTGCCACCCCAGGGAACACATAAGCATTGTTTCCCTGCCCAGGAATGAAGGTCTTGCCATCTTCTAGAGTCACACTCTTAAAAGGACTTCCACTGGCAAAAATCCCTCGGCCCTGGAGGCAGGAAGAAAACCGGAGATGAACTTGGAGCTGGTTTGGGGCAATAATAGTGGCCTATTCTTATTTTCCAAATGTTGGACTCTTCTTCATTCTCTCCCAAATGCCCAGCACTGTGCTGAGAACATAGCAGTTACTTAAAGCACATTTGTTCATTTGACCAGAAAGCTCAGTCCTCACCTATTACCTAGCAGTCAAGAAACTGCTGAAAGGTGATGGAGTTCACAGTGCTATTTTTGTCACCTCCTGGGAGGGCCAACCCAGGACATGACAGGACGTGGCCTAGAGCCTACAGGTGCCTCAGGTTCTGGGTTCTGGTCAAAGCTCTATGTTATTTAGGGTGAACTTTGAGCAGCATAGCACACAGGTAAGAGCTTGGGCTTTGGAGTCAGACCTGGGTTTGACAGCCAGCTCCACTCCTTATTAGCTCTGTGACCTTGGCCATGTTACTTCATCTTTCTGAAGCTCAGTTTGTTCATCAGCAATGTAGGAATATTTTTTCACCCTCATGGGGTTACTCATAGTAATTTTACTATGTCCTCTCAGCTGGGGGAAGGAGGACTCCCCGCTGACCTCGGTGACCCGGTAGCACTTCTCAGCCGTGCACTCGGCCTTGCTGGTGGGGTTGCTCAGGGCAAAGATGATAGGGCGCTCGTGGAAGGAGGCCATGTCCCTCAGAATCTGCTCCGTGAAGGCTCCTGCGATGGCAGCAACACCTACAGGGAAAAGGGGGGTAGTGGGGATGCCTACTCTTTATAAACAACCCATTCCTCTCCTGCTGGTGGTGGTGGGGGAATTAGGAACACCATAAAAGACTTGGTTTTGGGCCCAGCATCTGCCATAAGGACTGAGGGAGCAGAGGGAAAAGGATCATCCTACTTGAGCTGCCTGAGACCTCCTGTTTATCTCTAAGGGACCACTGGTCCATCTCAGGTCCCTGCCAATTAAGCTGCTCCTGTGAAGGCATTCCTGGGCATTTCCATGGAGAGTGAGCTGCTCCCTCAGTACACAAGGAGATGCCAGGGTCTGCCTTAGAAGAGGAGTGCTTATCTCATTGTGGTTTGAGAGACCAGCCCTGCACTTTTTTACTGCATTGTATATTTCTGCATCAATGAGCCCTACCTCTGGCACCTTAGTTCTATGGTTTTTTTATACAGCAGTCACTCAATAAAAGTTTGTAGCATTGAATTGCGCATAGGATGGGGGAAAGAGCTGTTTTCATGGGTTACTTAGGCTTCCTGGCTGAGCCTTTGTCTCTGCATCTGCAAGACAAGAGGGTTAGCTGGGCTGGGCAGTGGGCACCCTCCCTCCTCTTACCTATGATGGCTGTGGGCTTCACCAGCCTCACCACCTCCTCCAGGGAGTTCACTTCAGGATGGTCTTGGGCAAACATCTCCTTTTCATGGTTCAGGTGGCTCCTCCCCTATAGGCAAAGGAACACAGAGCAGCTGTGGTGGTGATGGCCTGTTGGGCAGGAGTACAGATGCATTTGGAAACTCTTAAGAGCGTTTCCCGCTGAACCCCATGCTTTGTTCTGAGCTGTCAGAAGTTTTGGGGCTCATACTCTTGACAGCATTTCCTGGAAGAACCTATGGTGGGACCTAAGCTTGTGTGAGAGGGGGTGTAGGGTGTGAGTGTGTGTGTGCATGTGCACGCATGTTTCTTTAACCCAAACCACATATGGAGAATCCATAAATAATTTCTTTGAGCTGTTAGGATTATGGCTTCCTGGGCCAGGACAGAAAGGCTCTCAGGCAATGCCTGAGTTTCACCAAGACCCTTTGCCCCAAGGCATCCAGCACCCAGACTCAGTTGAGGGATGGAGACCTGTGCCACCCAGGGTCAGGGAGTTAATGTGAATGTGCTTATAAGAGCCATTAATCTGTGAATAATACTAAACTAAGCTCCAAGAAGGTCTTATAATGACTAGCCATGCCTAACCAGCTACAGTTCCTTACATTTCTTCAAATGGAAGTTGGTGGGTGGCAGGCTGGAATAAGTGCTGATATATGGGTTCAGATGCTTTTGTTGATTCCTTTGGGTTAGCTGGCTTCATGGGAGCCAGTGTGAAGATGTCAGCTTTGAGAGCTCCTTGACTAGGGTTGAGCTTGGAGTGAGAAACATGATGTTGAAAGATGGAGAAGAGGGGAGAGTGGCAGTCTCTGGCATCCTGCATCTGTGGCCAGATTATGCTCTGGAAAGACATGGGGGTAGGAAGAGGGCTGAGTTCCTTCCAGTGGAAATCTTGCCCCATATGGAACAATAGGAAGGGTCAAATAGGTCAGTTTCTGCTGAGGATCTCTGCCATTCTTGGTCAATGTCCCTAGGTACTTCCCCTGTTCCCATCGTTGCCATAATTTTTCATCTCACACTGAAAATCTATGTTAGTGAAATTCTGGGAATTAAAGCACTGAGTGTAGCCCTAAGGGAGGGATCCTTCAGTTGTGTCTCTTACCACATGCTAGCCAGAAGCTGGCCTGTTTCTCTCTCATTCATTCTTTTACTCACGCCACACACATTAATTATGCACTTACCATGTGCCAGGCATTGCTATCAGCTCTGTAGCCTAGTGGGGAGAGAGTAAAAGGACAGCTTCTCTACAGTGTGGTAAGTACAGCGTATGGAGCATAGATGCAGGAAATAAGCTTTTTGGAGGAGGTAACATTTAAGTACTATCAGAAGATAAGGAAGAAACTGGGAAGAGGCTAAGGTTGAGAGTTGGCATGTGGAAAAAGGGAGAAGAGCTCTTCAGGCAGAAGAACAAGATGTGTGAAGATGTGGAAGACAGAGCAGGTTGCTCTTGGAAACTATGATTTAACGTGGCTGGAGGCTAGTGTAAGTCAGGAAGTGGTGGGGGACAAGACTAGAAGGGGCACATATCTACACACTTGCACAAACTTTTGGAAAGAAGCAATTAAAGCTACTTTGGAACGAATCTTTTGCTTTAGAGCTTAGGCCATTGCCCTCGTTTTGCTCTCTATTCTGTTTGAGCAGTTTACTTCTTGGAGACCTCTTCCAGTCCAGTTCCTGGGAGCTGTAGGTGTCAGGAAACCTCCAGGTCTCCAGACTGACAGTACCTTGACAATGAGCCCCTTAGAGTCCACCATCCAGATCTTTCTTGTGGCCTCTGCCTTCGGTACACCTTCTTTCTCTAGGGCCATGACAAGGAGGTGGGCAATGCCCATGGCTGCCTGGAAGGTACCATAGGGTGGATGTTCAGACACAGGGCAAATAGCTGCTGAACATTTATCTGATGTCTCACCATAATGAGTCCCTCTTCTTTCCCCCACCTCCACGACTCCCAGGAGGCCTAATTATGTCCTTGCCTTGAGACACCCAAATGTTGGAGCCTACCAAATGCAGGCAGCTTGCAATGATCACAATATGTTTGTGCTGCTTCCTCTTTTCAGAACCTCAGAATGTTTCCCTTTTTGTTGTGCTTCCACCCATTCTTATTTTCCTCCTGGAACCACAAAAGAAACCCTCAATGGCACATACCTCGCCTGCACCTTGGAAAACAAACACGTGATTGGAGAGCTTGTTCTTGGTGATTCGCAGAGCAGCCAGGATCCCTGCCACAGCAACGGAGGCTGTGCCTGAAACAACAGAGTGGCCTGAGATCAGCCTCTGGCCACAGGTCCCCAGCTCCCAAGAGAAGACCCTTGGCAGACTTCCCCACACCTTGGACCTATGGAGGAACAGGCAACTTTTCTTAGCTCTTGTGCCTTGTAGTTTTGGTGCGAATCCATGCTCTCTTTTGGAGATAACTTTTTTGTTGTTGTAGTTGAGAAACAGCTCCTGGTTTGTTACTTGACCCCATGCGATGGGATCAGATAGCCAGATGCTGCTACCACCATCATTCATAAAGAAAATGACAAGGATAAATATGGACGGCAAAAAGAATTATGAGCCTCATAGAATGATATAAGGGCTAAGTGGATAAAAACATTAAAAAAAATGAGAACACAACCTGACCATGAGGCATTAAATGACCACGTGGCCTAAGCTGCCCATCTTATCCACAAAGTCATAAGGTTGAGTGGTCTGGTTGCACACCATCATCAAATGGCTTGAGTATGTGTGGAAGGGACAAGTAAGTTGCATAAGTAGGTGGCTCAGATTCATTTGAGCCACTGCTATATGTCTTCTTCTCCCTGAATCTGCATCTAAGGCTTCCCTGGGGATTCCTTAAGAGCAGCTTACCAAGGAGAAAAAACCTGGGCTTGGTTTACAAGCTGTTTAAAGTGGCAGCCTCACAGCCGCAATAAAAGGTAGCTTTCAAAGATAAGGATGAAGGACAATGGACATGACTTCAAGTGATAAATTTAGTTGTATACTTTGGTTCAGGAGATGGTTAGCACTACACTGATTCATGAGTAGTTGCTAATGGTTTAGCTGGATGGTCAGGGACTTGGAAAGAGCAAAATAGTAAGATTAGTGATCAGAAGGTCTGGGGAAAAGGTAGGTGGATGGACCTCTTGGGATAGGTACAGAGTAAGAGGATATTTGTGCCCCTTGTGAGAGTTTCTCAAAGGACACGAGGAAAACAGTCTTTAAGTAATCAGGTGGACAAAATGGCATGGCTTATGAATATCAGCCAGGCTCTTTCTCCAGAGCCACTGGTTTATGTTGTATGTACTCAAGAACCCCATGAACAAAGTGGCCATATTGGAAGAANCATCTTCTCCAGTCACCCAGGGTTTGCCTCACAGACTTATGCATAAAACAGCTATGGTGGTTAAGGATGGAGGCTATGCATGGGCTTCCTCTTTTTACCCAGTTGGTCTGTTACTGTTACTGCTGAATGATTAACCTGTCAATCACAGAGAATGCTGAGCTCCTGATGGGCACCATTCCCTGGGGGGACCATCCACCTGGTGGCAGGATGATTACACTGGTCTGCTTCCATCATAGACAGGAAAGAAATCTGTCCTCACTGGAGCAGATACACATTCTGGTTATGGATTTCTTTCCTTGTCTATAATACTTCTGCTAGCACCATCATCTGTAGATGTTTGGAATATCTGTTCACCATCCAGATATATTACTGACAGCAAGTCTTTTAATCAAGGACATTACTTCACAGTAAAAGATGGGCAGCAATATGCTTGTGCCCATGAAATTCACTAGTCCTAATATGTACTCAAAAACTCAGGAGCAGCTGGCCTCATAGATCATAGAATGGCCTACTGAAGTCTTAAGTTGAAGTAACACCCCATGGAGATAATGAGCTTCTGTTTTATGGGATGCAATGTATGACAACTTAGCAAACAAGACATTGTGTTTTTCTCTCATAGCTAAAATGCATGGGTCTAGAAATTGTGGGATGGAAATGGGAGTGGCTACTTTCACCATGTCACCTAATAACCCATGTACAGAATTTTTGCTTCCTGTCTCTTTAATTTTGTGTTCTACTGGATTGGAGGTCTTAGTTGCCAAGAAGGAAATACTTCCATTAGGATTTACAACATGATTTTATTGAATTTGGAGTTGAAATAGCTCCCTGGCCAGCTGGGGCTCTTCATGCCACTAAGACAGTGGGCAAAGAAGGGGATTACTTTTCCGGCTGTTATGATTCATCCTGATAATCAAAGGGACAGTGAGGACTATTTCTGAAGCCTAGGGGAGTCTTCTAGAGGGTCATCTTCATATTTCCATGCTCAATAGTATATATTAATAAATATTATTGCAACTAAGGAGATTCAGGACTATGGAGGATTCAGATCCTTCAGAAATGAAGGTTTGGGTCACCCTACTGGTTAAAGAATCCCAGCCACCTGAGGTCTTGTCTGAGGACGAGAAAACATGGAATGGAAGGTTGAGGAAGAAATTTATAAAAATGATCTTTGGCACCATGACTGGTTACAGAAACAAGGAATGTAGCAGCCATGCATATTTGTCTTCCTTGATCATGATGTAACTATATATGATAGTATGCATGAGCTAATTGCTTCTCCCTTCTCCTCCTAATTATTTCATAAAAGTTCTGTTGGAGGTTAATTCCACATGTTAGTCTTTAGATAATAGAGTTTTCAAATATGACTGAATTTTATGAGCTATTAATCCTGCTTAGAGGGTAGCTAGCATGACTATTCCAGAGATGACTAAATTGATTGTTGAGACATTGTCTATCCCCATTTTGGGGAGGTGAGAATGTCTTCATTTGTTAGAAAGATAGTTGAATGTTGCCAGGCATTTTGTTAGAGTTTTTTTTTTTTTTTTTAAGATAGAATCTCACTCTGTCAGCCAGGCTGGGTGCAGTGGCATGATCTCGGCTCACTGCAACCTCTGCCTTCTGGGTTCAAGCAATTCCCCTGCCTCAGCCTCCCGAGTGGCTGGAATTGCAGGCACCCACTACCATGCCCAGCTAACTTTTTTGTATTTTTAGTACAGACAGGGTTTCACCATGTTGGCCAGGCTGGTCTCCATCTCCTGACTTCAGGTGATCTGCCTGCTGTGGCCCCCCAAAGTGCTGGGATTACAGGTGTGAGCCACCACACCCGGCGAGAGTTGTTTTTGTTGTGTGGGAGTACACATGTGCCAGATATTGTATGTGGATGCTGAGTAGCCAGAAAGGTGGACTGTACCAATTATTGGGTAATTGTTTCTCAGCTTCTTTACACTGCTTTGTCTGCAAACCACTTTTCTGCTTTGCCAACTTGCTCTATGCTGGGCACCAACAGTAGGTGCTAGAGAGAGACAAAGGCTAGTCGAGGGGGATAATGTGCTTTGCATCATCTGAATTGTTTGGCTTGTAAGGTAAAATGTAGGACACTTTGCAAAATTTGAATGTTAGATAAACAGTAAGTTTTTTTAGTATGTCCTATGCAATATTAGCATAAATACACTAAAAATTATTTGTTTCTAACACCGAAATTTAACTGGGTATCCTGCATTTTGGTTTTGCTACATCTGGCAGCCCCACAGCCTTAGTTCTTCAACTCCACAGCATTATTTTGTTCTTGAAGCAGCAGTTCAACCCAGGTTGCAGTTTGGCCGTCACTGAGAGAACTAGCCTCATAGCATGCCACTCAGTGACACCAACACCGCCAACTGCCACTTCCTCTTTCCTTTGTTCCCTTAGCCTCAAGAGTCCTAGCAGACCCTTAGTGTTTGTTTCTTTTTTGTCTTTAATAGACAACTTTAAAAGAAATATTAGCCCCCACAATGGTGAAACCAAAGCAAAACAAAAGGAAATTAAAGTAAAATTAAATTAAACTACCACTATTTATGGCTTACTAAATTTGCATAATTTTTTAAAAAACATGTTGACATCTAGGGCTGGTGAGGGAGGAATGAAAAGTAAAATGTTCCAGTATACTTTGTATTTTAAAGTGCAACAATCTTTTTGGAGAACTGTTCTCCATCTAGAGCAAAGGCATTAAATATTTTTGCCCTTTGACCTTATGCTTCTACTTTTGAGAATCTATATATGGAAAAATCTAAAATGTATATATTAGGATATTTATGACAGTGTTATTTATAATACAGAATGGCTGGAAATAACCTATACATCTAACAAAGGAGTAATGATTAAGCAAAGTAGCCAGTGTAGACACAGTAGACTCTTTTATAGCTATCAAAAATGGTCATCATGAATATTATGCAGCAGCATGGAAAATGCTATGAAGCTGGTCACTAACATCAGATATTGTTCCAAGTAGTTTATATGTCTTAACATCAAGACAGTTATTTATTTAATCCTCATTATTGCCATCCTCATTTTACAGATTGGGAAAATAAGGTACGGTTTGCTGAATTGTACAAGATCATATAACAGAGCCAGGATGTGAATTCAGGGAATCAAGCTCTGGGGCCTGTGTGCTTAACTACTAACCTATGTTCCATTGAGTTGGCTGGAAAGAAGAGAACAGAAGAGAACATGAGCAGTATGCATATCATGATTCTTACTGTAATGTAACACACACACAGAATCCAGAAGGAACTTAGAAAATACTAACGGTTGCAGGGTGGGAGTGTGAGTGAATTTTCTATATTCTCTGTTTCCAGTTTTCCAGGTGGCTTTTTTTTTTTTTTGCCAGCTCTGGGGTGGGCCTTTTCCTAGAACATGTGTTGGATTTATACTTGGCTCAGTGGCTGAGATGGGGGCACAGCATACAGTTAGAGGCTAATAAGTGCACATTCATCATTGTGGACATCAGAACGTGGGACTCTATGCAGGAACATACTCCTCAGAAGATGGGGTACAGGCACCCCTATCTTCGCACAGCTGTGGCCTGGAGGGAGTGCTGAACTGTCAGCAGTGTCACAGAAATAGGGCTGAGGATACTGAGACTTCTTAACATCATTCCCATGGTCCCCAGAGTACACAGTGTGCATCCTATGAGGGCCTACAAAGTGACAGGCACCATGTCAGGCACTGTGGAAGACAGAGATAAATCGGACATGATCCTCACCATCAGGGAACTCCCAGTTTACCAAAACTTGGGCACAAAACACTAGAACACAATGGGTAGTCAGAGATCACTGGAAATTGTTACATTCATTTATTTTTTGAGTATCAATTATGAACCAGGCTCAGGTACTGAGCATACCATTGGTAACAAAATGGACCAAGCTCATCTCTGTTTGTAAG